GCAATATATGCAAAATTAGCATGATTATTAGGAGTTAATAATTGAAGAAAATTTAGTGAACTAATATAATATTTTGCTGCTACCGCACTCTGGTGCTTACATGGTGCTCCAGATAATCCAACAAAACAAGTACATGTCCATATTTCAACATTAACTATATAAGATAAATCAGTATTCTTTTTCTCACTAGAAACTAGATATTCATTTTCAATATCAGATTGTTGAATCTCTGCTGCATTAATTGTATTCCAGCCGCAGCACAAAAATCGCCTAGCAATTTCTAAATGACTGGAATGACTGTGTGCTATTTCAAGTAATCGACATTCATAGAACTGTTCCATACTTGTAATAATAAATTGAAAGACTTGAACAATATTATAAGCTTGGGTATGTGCAAATATTATATCTTTCAACAATCCAAAACTGCGTTCTACATAGTTATTAGTGTTATTGCCACGTAAAAGAAGTTCTGAACGAAAAGATACCGCCCATAATTGACGCCGTTTTCAGAGTAATTCAAAATGCCTTTGTAATTGGGGGTATGTATGATAGTAATTAGCTTTAAGTCCATGGTAATATTCTAACATTTTAACTTCTGTTCAGGCATACAATATTTTTTTCATATTTTCTATTATAAACTTTCTATAAACTTTATTTATATTATACTTTGAATTATGCAACCAACGCCAAAATGCTTGAAGTACATGAAAGATACATAATAACTGTTTTGATTGTGGCCAACAATTTGTTAATGCATTTCGTTCAGCATATGAGTCATCCGTAAGAAAAACAATTGGCCCAATACTAGGTCCACGGCCAGAGAAAGCATGCTTTGAAAAAAGTTCTTTTAAGAGCCTCATTCCTCTTTCAAGAGTTACTTCTGATTCATCAGATGTTATGATAAGACCAAGAGACAATGCACCTATAATACAACTTGTGTAAAACAAAGTCACTAAAGTATTTAGCGGTTCAAGGAATGCTGATGCATCTACATAGCAAATTTCACCAGCTTGGCATATCTTTTCATGTACACAGAGCATCAAGTTTGTAGCCACACAAAGAATAAAAGCATTCTGTGATTGTGAATTATATTCTTGAAGTAGAGCATGACTTCTTTTTGAGTTATTGTAATTATCAACTTCTTCTTTAAGTCGTTGAAATATTGATGCTCCATTTTGTCCCCCAAGATGTTCATTACGATATTTTTTAAACAAATTTAAAACATAACCATAGTCTGG